TCGTATGTGTAACTGTAATTTTGGACGGGCGCCATTGTAACTGTATCTCTCTTCTTGCACTTCGTCTCTCCCGCCCTCCCTCTCTTTCTTTTGCTAAAATCTTGTCACTCGCGGCTTGCATGCTTGGATCGATGCGTGGAGAAGGGTTACGTCCCCACGCCGCGGCCGATCATGCAGAACGCGGGCGCTCCCTCTCTAATCCCCGCTCTAAGTTCTGGTAAGTGTCCTTCGCGTCTGGATGCACGCTATAAATTCAGGCTGCGCGATTAGTCAACTCTCTTAACCCGTTGTTGGAAGCTCGGGGTTGCGCGATCATAAAGGGTCAGCACACGAGCGAAGAAAGAGGTGAGTAAAGTAGGAGTTGGGCGACCCGACAGGATGGTGCCGAACGCGCGGGATTGACGTGGGCCACGACGGACTGTGGGCACGGGCGAATCCGACGTGCGGGAGGACCAAGCGGGGTGACAACTTCGTGGGTTGGTGCGTGATGACGGACTGTCCGCATCAGGGAGAGAGAGAAGAAGGAGAGAGTTGAGGTCGATGGACGTGGATTTGCTGTTTCTTTGTCTCTTCCCCCTCTCCATCTATGTACATACATTTTGATTGCGGCCCCGGGCGATTTGCCCGTTCTTATCTTTCGTTTCGACTTTTTGAGCTTCGGTTTTTACTCACACTGGTCCTTGCTATGTCCGTCCCGCTTGCATTATATGTATGATTATCGAATGTATGGATGTGGGGACGTTATGCCTGCTTGTCTATCTTTTTGCTCAGAATCCCCTGCCCTTCCTTTTTGTTCGTACCAATAAATGGGATAAGAATCTGGCCCCGATATCGATTTCATTCTCGTTTTTGCTTATCCCACGATGAGGTTGTGGCATGGTTGCATCTTGCATAACCGGAGCTCACGAAGCAATTAGGCGATCTGGAGTCCGGCCCCGCAAACGCCGCACGAGAGCACGTGTAAACGCGATCCGAGTCGCGCCCTTACACTCATTCCCGTGCGTCGACTCGCTCACCCCGAAGGGAATCATGACGGAACCATCATCCCGTACGAGCATGATGAGGCGCCACTGAGTCGGCCTGTCCTACACGTGCTCGTGCGCGGTGACGATATCCCGACCCGCGCTATCCCGTCGGCAATGATACCATGACGCGATCTTGGGGCTCAGACTCGTCCTATGACCCGGACTATTTCACCCCTATAATAAACGAGCTCATAAAGACCCGATACCCTTGTCACACGGAGAATCGACTATGTCCGCGGGAATTCCATTGTGCCACCACTAGCGACCCTCGGTGCTCCGATTTCCTTTCCCCCGACCACACCTACTATTTCACCCACCCGGGATTCGTTGAGATCACCACCTGTTTCCCTCCTTTCCGCCTCCTTCTTCCGTATCATCAACTCAGTGTCGTTCCGTGGCCGGCCATAGCCCCCTATTGGCCCAACACGTTTTGTGTGAATTGCCGACGTAGCGGCGAACAGAGAACTCCGGAATTCCGAAGGCCCAACCCAGGCCCGCGACGACCTGCGCCACGTGGCGGCCCCCAACGGCCTAACTTTTCGGGACCACCTCCACCACGGAGGAATTTTCCCGTAACCCGTCGTCCACAGTGTCCCGGTCCCTTGGGACTGTGAGACCCTTGCGTGTGCACCCCTCGCACGCCTAATTGCATTCATATCCTTAAGACTCCCCCACTTCCCCCAAAAATCCTTGGCACACCCCTTTCCGCACTTCTAGGCCCACATCCCACTCCGATCAGGAAGTCGCGCTGGGCGTGAGGTTGGTATCGGAGCCCGACACGTGGCTAGGGTCTCAGGATTAATAGCACATTAACTAGGCGACCTGGCTAACCGTGGGCGACCTCGCCCTCGAAACGCACATAGACGCGACCCTATCGTCACCAGAAGTAGATCGGCTAACCGACGAGCAGCCAATATGGCTGCCAACGTGCAAAATCTAGATTCGCAACCAAATGCTAATCCACCTAATCAACCTGCCCCACGTGCACGAGCTCCCATGTCGCCACCAGATCTCTATCTATTTGATCCGGCACACCATCTCGCAGGAGCATGGCTGGCCACGCTTAGAGCATAGCAGTACGATGATCACGGAGCACAAATCAACATCCAGGCTTGAATGGGAGGAGACGCTCATCATTGGTATAGTACCTATGTATGGGTGGATCTCTCGACCTTCGAGCGGGACTTTTTGAACCGATTCGATTATGTCCACTTTAAGCAAGCGCTATACATGATCAAGGATCGCGTGCAAAACCCGCTCGAATCCGTCGCGGAATATCGAAACCGGTTCTACAGAATGTTCGTAAAAACTGAGTGAGGTGAGCAAGTCGGGAGAGATTTGTTCATTGACGGACTCCGCAGTCGAACGATAAGGGCAAAGTTGCGAAAGCAATTTTCCCCCATCACTCATACGCTACAACAAATTATGGCTGCTGCGGAAGACATAAAACGAAAGTTCGCGGCGAACTTCCTGGAAGGAGAAGATTACCCTAAAGACGGAGATTCGACCAAGCTCGCTCGATCCAGAGCAGAGCTGGCTGCTTTACATGACAAATTTGAAAACATGGGATTCGTATCAGGACCTGTCACCTATATGGAACAAATAGGCCCCAAACGAGTAATCCTAAGTGAGACTCCGAGCATCTCTGCTCTTATGATGCCCCCGCCCGTCAGGGCATTACCCCCGCCACCGATGGAGGCTCTTGTACGATCAAACGAATCGGCGGCCATCTTCGAACTAACCAAAACTTTGATTAATTTGATCCAAGAAAGCAAAAAGGAGCAGCGAGAGCACAATGCTCGGTAGGAAGCCATGATGAGGAACATGCGACCTATTGCGATGCGTGCCCCTCCGATGCAACAAGGATTAGCCCCCCCCTCTGCTCTCGGAGGAGCTGCGAACAATCTGAATGTTTGCTACGCCTGTCATCAGCCCGGACATCTAGCCCGTGATTACCCCCACCAACACCCACAACAACGGATCGGAGTCGCACCTATGGCTGCGGCCCCCATCGCCAACGGACCTGGACGAGTCGGAGCCTTGATGGAAGAAGTAGAGGGTGGGGGAAGTGCCTTGGCCACCACGGAAGAGGCCGCTGAGCGAATTTCGCTAGATCAGTATGTGTCGATGGGATATCCTGGGACCTGGGCTAGGAATGATCGGAACAATCAGACCAGCGCTTGAACCAAAAGAGGTGGCGGAGTGGCGACCGTCCTTAAGAAAAATGGAGTCGGGAGGACCCACCTTCGTCACAGGAGAGATCGATGTACTAAACATCATCCGAGCCTTGGACCATCGGATTCCCCTTCCGATCGGTCATCTACTCTCGATCTCCGAGCAAGCCAACGAGCGAATGTTACAGCACTGTAAAGCGAATCGAAAGCGATTCGCTCTCGCCCGAGCATCGAACGTAAAAGCCAAAGGCCCCGCGCCGGAAGAAAACCCAACAAGCACTCCGGATCCGATACGGATAGGATTAATTCAGAAAGACGATCATTTCCTACGGATTAAACCCATTCCGTGGAAATCCGCAGAGTGTGATATAGAAATTTGGGGAATTCCTTACAACGCCATTATAGATTCAGGAGCAGCTGTGTTGGCTATTTCACTGAGAGTGGTTGAAAGGGCAAGCAGGAAAAACGATATGATCATGCTCACCGAGAAAGATCAGCTCGTTTCGGCAGATGAGGAAAAAATTAAAAATGTGGGGAGAATGACCAATGTCGCTTTCCGATTAGGTAAAGTACACGCGCTTGGGGATGTCGTAGTACTAGATGTTAATACGTACGACGTTCTTTTCGGACTTCCTGTTCTTGTGGCGCTACGAGCAAACCTGGATTTCGAACGACGATCGATCGTCCTCCGAAATACAGGAGGAAAACCCTACGCTGTGCCCATGCGATTGACCCTTCGCACTACTATTAACGCGGTTCCTCGCGTTTCGCCGATGATGGCAGGGACTCTCCACACGATCTCCTGGGACGAACTCGCAGCGGGGAAGCCATCAACTGATGATACGGAAAGTCGTGACGAAGATGATCCGGAGATCCTGAAATTGGTACGACAACACGTTTACTACCCGCTGCCCAAAACGATAGCGAGAACGATGCAACTGACCAGCCGAAAAATTCAAAGGACCAAGGCGATGATCTTGGTAGAACCCCTCGTGCAGATTTCGAGGATGTTCGACTCTTTGGAACCCCCTCAAACTCTGTACGAAGGGATCACCCCTCTTCTCGCCAGGTATAGCGAAAAAAAGCATTATTGCGACATTACGGAACTACCTAGGTCTTTACTAACATCGGCTAAAGAAGTGAGATTGTTACGCTTGGGGGCGGAAACAAGCTCTTCGGAACCCCCTGGGCGTTTTGAAGCAGAAACAGACGGACTGGGGACAAAGATTGCAACTAAGGAAGTGCAATGGCAGGATGTCTGCGACGGGATTACCCCGGAAGGACACGTGGCAATCTGAGAAGAAGATGCTCAGATGATGGCCACGGTGTTCTCTTGGCGATCGGATCATTCATTCATCTCGGCGCCTCCACCCGATTTGACAAAACAGGCGAACACGAAGCAGATTGACGTTCGGATCTGGGACCAACTTTTTGAACTACACGTTCCACAATATGTGCCGGATGAAATCCACCGGGTGATTGCGGATATTCTAACGGTATATCAAGGAGCAATTAGTGTGTCAGACACTGACATTGGGTTATCGTTAGTAATCCAACATGAAATTCAGACAGGAAATCACACCCCGATTCATTGCAAACCTTATCGCTATTCCTTGATTGGACGCAAAAAGGCTCTCGAACGAATTCGGGAGTTCGAAGCCAGCGGTTGGATTGAACCCGCTACTGGACCCTGGTCCTTTCTTGTAGTGTTAGTACCGAAGAAGAACGGAGCGATTCGCATTTGTATTGATTATCGCAAGTTGAATGAAATCACGATCAAAGATGTGTATCCCCTCCCCCAGATTGATGATTTGTTGGATGCGATTGGGTGCGCTAATTATTTCAGCAAGTTTGATATTCGGCGTGGCTTCCATCATATTCTGGTAAGGGAAGAAGATCGACCGAAAACGGCCTTTGTGTTGTTTGAGGGCACGTGGCAGTGGGTTCGGTGTCCGATGGGGATTTGCAATGCGCCTGCCACGTTTCAGCAAGCGATGAACATGACGTTCCAGAATTTCGTCAACAAGACACGGCTAACGCAAGGGATGATCAACTTTTGTGTGATCGTGTACATGGAGGACATCCTGGTCTATTCGGAGAACTATCACGGGCACGCGCAACACATCGAGTGGACATTGGGCGCATTGAGAGATGCTGGGTTCAAGATTGCGCTCGAGAAAAACGAATTTTTCCTCTCGGAAATTTCGTTCTTGGGCTACGTCGTGACACGTGGAGGATTGCGGCCGGATTCGAGAAAAGTGGCGGCGGTGAAGGAAGCCCCGGTTCCCACGTCACTAACGCAGGTTCGAGCCTTCTTGGGACTGGCGTCGTACTACCGGCGCTTCATCAAGGGCTTTGCCGCGATTGCACGACCGCTAACGAACCTGTTACGGAAGGACCAACCTCTCAGTTGGGACGCGGAGTGCTTGCAGGCCTTTGCAACCCTCAAAGACGCTCTGGCAACGGCCCCTATTTTGATTCGGCCGGACCCCTCGAAGCAGTTCATTCTCATCACGGACTGGCAACCGGAAGCTATTTACGCTATTCTAGCACAGAAGGGGAACGATGGTCGCGAACACGTTATCGAGTACGTGTCTCGAACCGTACTGGACGAACGAAGAAACGACTTCGCACCTCAAGGCGAGTGCTATGCAGTAGTTTGGGGAATCCATCACTTCCATCCGTATCTCTACGGACAGAAGTTTCGCCTCGTAACGGATCACGAGCCTCTGCTAGCGCTGAAGAAACTCACCAACTACACGGGCATGATTGGCCGTTGGGCGGTGCGACTACAAGAATACGACTTCGATATCGTCCATTGAAAGACAGAACGGCATGGCAACGTGGACAGGCTGACACGTCTGCACCGACCTGTCAAGGTACCAAAAGGCAAGGAAATTACACCGTCGAAGGAGCCAGACCTGACCAACGAGCCTAAGTACGGACAAGTGGCAGTCCTCCCACGTGGCAAGAAGCAAAACGGTGGCAATGGGTGACGGAGGTAACCCCACTACCCCTCTCTCCCCCCCTTCCTCTCGTCTCTCCTCTCCCTGCCTGATAAATTTTGCTATTTTTGTGAAGCCATCTCCCTCGTATACTCGGTCTCCACGTGTCCTAACGGAGAAGGGTATGTCGATTGGATAGATTGTCGACAGTGCGTCGCACGAGCCCATGACTCGTGCATCCAATACAGAAATGATAGTAAACCATGGTTGTGCCCCTTGTGCCGGACCAACAAGATTCCGACCGAGGCTCGCTTTTTGGATGCCACGTCAGAAGGATTGGAAAAGACCCGGAAGTTTAGAAGGGCGGAAGTATGGACGGATATTGCCTTAATTGCCACCCTAGGAGATAAGCCCCTCCAGGATTTCACTAAGGAAGATCGGAGAAAGGCCAACGAAAGGGCTCGGGATTATTGATGGATAGAGGGTAGATTAGAAAAACGAAAAACGAACGGCAGTGGGATTTGGATGGTAGTGCCGCATCCGTTCATGCGGTACGACTGGGTTAAGACAACCCACGAGGAAATTGCGGCCTATTTTGCCGTACGAATCACGGAGTCAGCTATCAACAAAAATGAGTGGTATTGGTCCAATATCCGCGACGATGTGAAATACATTGTCGCTAACTGTCAAGTCTGCGCCACTGACAAGGAGCCGATTCAGCCACCAAGATCGATAGTGCCCACGGTCGTTGAACGGTCATTTCAAAGAGTGAGCATGGACACTACCGACATAGTGGTGCCCCCAACCCCTAATAGCTGCGAATATTCAACCCTATTGGTATTTGTCGACCATTTCTCGAAATGGATCAAAGCGTATCCTTGTCGCACGCGGTAAGCCACGGAAATCGCACGGTATGTCAACCGTTTCCTCGGGATGCATCAGGATACGGAAGAAATCCTGACCGACAACGGGGCTGAATTCAGGGGAGAAGTACTAAGGAATCTGNCGGTATGTCAACCGTTTCCTCGGGATGCATCAGGATACGGAAGAAATCCTGACCGACAACGGGGCTGAATTCAGGGGAGAAGTACTAAGGAATCTGGTCCTACATGGCGTCGCCATACGTAACACTGCACCCCATATGTCACAATCCAATGGACTGGTCGAAAACGCTAACCGGGTGATAAAGACAGCGTTGCGACGAAACATCGCGGCACGGGATCCGAGACCCTGGCCCGATATCGTCGATCGCATCCTGGCGGTCCGTCGCGGAACGCCCCACGAATCGACGGGGATGAGCCCCTTCCAATTAAGGACCAATAGCGTCGCTTGTGTTTCAATACCAAGCCTCCCAGACGAGTCTACATTAAACCGACGTCCCACCAGGGCCACGACTAGGGACAAGGCCCAACGACACCTAGAGCTAATGGAACGGTCGCTGCCCAGGCTAGCCCGAAAACGACAAAAAATGACCGAACTAGCCCAAGGCCGACAGGTTCGGAGCTACGAGGCCCGAAATGGGAATGCGGGTCCACGGCCCCAGTACAAATTGGGGGACGTGGTGCAGGTGAGGAAATGTGCTCGCTAGGGTAAGCCAGCGCCACGATTCTTCGAGTGATATCGCGTGATTGAGCTCGGCCCCAACGGTGTGGACACCGTGCGCCTCGACCGTGAAATCTCTGGCAGCCGATCGGCCCGTCCGATCACACGCCACGTGTCCTATCTTTGCGTCCTCCCCTCTGCTCCGTCCCCTTCTCCCTCAATCTCTCCTTCCGAGGAAACCAAGGACGACGACTCTGACTCTCCACCATCCCCCTCTTCCTCTTACTCCCTCTCTGCCTCTCCGTCGCCATCGCCATGAGTTTTCTGGAGGAGAGAGCCCTCAGCAAAGCATCGCTTGCGCCCCGCGATCGATTGACGATCCGGCAAGTCTATCATCCCCGCCTCAGTCCGGATCTTCGGCGGCTTGCGCACTTTTTTTGCACGGAAGGCGTGTATGTAGCGGCGGTGTTCAGAATCGAAGGTCGGCCCAACGCAGTGGTACTGGCCGAGGCAGTAGCAGTTCATCAGCGAGCGGTGCTAGGTGTCAGCCGCATATCGGTCGCCATCAACTTCAGTGGCGATCTCTCCACACTCCTCCCGTTACGACATTCAACAGTGAAGACATCGCTGCGCGCGTGGGCAAACGATCTGGTCGCCGAGTGGACCCAACTTCTAGCTCATCCCGGGGACAAGGTCGCAGCGACGCGAGCAATCGAATACGACGGCCTTCGGGTGTACCAGCGTGATCCGCCGGCGGTTCTCCCTGTTGTTGTTCCCTTCCCTCGCCCCCAATGAGTCTCTCTCCGATCTCCGTTTTTTATCTCCCCTCCACCTTCCCCACCTTCTGGCAGTCCGATATCCATCCTCGCCTTTCCTACTGTCTAACGACCCTTGCTGTCCCCAACATTCATCCCCCATACTGGGACCTGTGGCGCGAAGACTTCGTCGAGCTTTTACTGTGCTTGGTTGAGGTACAGCTGACGTGGACCGAGGACGAGGAGCGCCCGCCTCGCATAGAGCACCTGGAGTTGCTGTTCATCCAGGCTTGGCGAACCAACATGGAGGGAGAACTCCTCGCGTTTCTGTTCGGTACAATGGGGCCCGGACATCAGGAACTCATCGCGCAAGAGCTCACGATCCCGGTAGCGCAGTTGGCGGACGATTTCCCTCTCGACATCATCTCGCAAGACGACGAGCACCCGATTCCTCATGTGCTTTCTCGCACATCGACGCCGTATCTCTTGTGGTCGGCTTGTGTGGAGGGAGCCGCTGAGCGCATCCCGCCGTCGCAGCAGCAGTATTTGGATCCCCGGACGGTTCGCGATCCTGCCTTCTTCAGGCATCCAACGGCGGAGCAGCTTTCTGCCATTCGAGAGGAGGAAGAGGAGGAAGAAAGCACTGAGAGTGACGAAGGAGAAGACGAGCCAGAAGAAAGTGGGGAAAGCGACGAAGTACTCGGGGAAGCGGATGAAACCCCCGAAGAAGGAAGCTATAGCGAGCATAGTGAGGGGGAGCAGAGCGAAGAAGAAGAAGAAGACGACAAAGGAGAAGAGGAGAACGAAGAAGGACCTGCGGAATCGGAGTGGGAAGTTGTGCCGGAAGAAGCGCTGCGCACGGGCACGGAGGCTGAAGATCCGGAGGCGGCCCGCAAAAGAGAAGAAACCGCGGCGCGGAAGAGGAAGCTAGAGTTTGCGAGCGGGGCAAGCCTGCACGTCTACGACGACCTAAACCGAGATCCAAAGCCGCCCCGACCAGAACATGGCGACCTCACGGCCACGACTCCGACCTCATCAGCGAGGCAACGGAGCCGATCCCCCTCCTTCCCAACCCGTCCCCCAGTTCGCCAACGTACCGATACGGGCGATCGGTCTTCGTCCCCAATCGCTCTCTCATCGTCCCCTTGAATACCTCACCCTCCGCCAGCTCACCACCCCCGTTACGTTCCACTCTAATCCGTTCCCCCGCGACGCCTTCCGCCACTTCTATGCTGCTCGCTTCGCTATAGTAGTGCACCCCCACCCCTCCATTCAGTGCGTCGTCCCAACCTTCAGCCTCCATGTTTTGCTCCTTAGTGCCGCGTGGCGAGGCCATAATATGATCGAGGTTTATTGCATAGTAATGGGGACCATCCCCGCCTGCGAGGATCTCGATCGTTTCCGCGCGGCACTTTTTCGAACTCTCACCACCCTCTATCCTGATTACCTCGCATCCCTCCCTCGCACTGGCAACCGTTCCCCCCGCTTCCACCGCATCGTCCGCTACCAAGCGCTTCTAGAATCTGCAGCCGGGATGGAAAGGTTCCTGCCCCCGCTACCCCTAAGCCCTCCACCCCGCCATGCCGCCATGCACCGGCTCCCTTCTGCAACCGCGCAGAAGAGCAAGAAAAATCCCGTCCTTGGATTGTCGAGAGCCCAATCAGAGAAAGTAGTAGAAAAGCAAAGTTGTCATGTTGGATGACGTCCGCACGCAATCGAACGGTAAGTGGCTTAAAGAAAAGTGTTCCGCGTGTCGATCGATTAGAGAAATCGACACGTGTCAACAAGCAAGAAGGAGCTTGCTAATATTGAAACCCCCTAGGCGTCACATATGTGACGAACCACTTTTTGTAACGCGCGATTTTCTGCGCGGTTGCAATGAGGGGTCCTAAACTGGGAAGATTGGGCCAATTACGGGAGATCGGGATCTGTGGAGAATTGCATCAGTGTCCTTGCTTCTTCGTCTTTTTCGTCGCTCCTTCGCGGCTGGGAGTGTCCTGGGACGGCCGGTTGAGTGATTGGTCGGATGGATGTCTGGCGCGCCACCGCGTGCTCGATTAATAAATGTCGATGTCGTTTCTTTCCGTTCAGTTTCGATCTTTTTGGGCGCGGATATCGCGCGGGAAGTTGCTTCGTTCTTTTTTGAAATTCCTCTTGAATTTTTTTCGAATTTTGTCGAGCCCCCAATGGCTCTCGGAATTTCGGACTTTCCTTCTGGAATTCGTGCTTTTTGCTTTTTCACATTAGATAGGAATTTATGAATTCAGTAATTAGGATTTTTCCTGCCGCGCGGCGCCTTTTGTTTACGCGCTTCTTCATGCGGCTGCAACGGTACTCTGATTAGTGGGTGCCCTTAATCGTATGTGTAACTGTAATTTTGGGCGGGCATCATTGTAATTGTATCTCTTCTTGCACTTCGTCTCTCCCGCCCTCCCTCTCTTTCTTTTGTTGAAATCTTGTCAGTCGCGGCTTGCATGCTCGGATCGATGCATGGAGAAGGGTTACATCCCCCACGCCGCGGCCGATCATGCAGAACACAGACGCTCCCTCTCTAATCCCCGCTCTAAGTTCTGGTAATTCCGTGTCCTTCGCGCCTGCATGCACGCTATAAATTCAGGCTGCGCGATTAGTCAGCTCTCTTAACCCGTTGTTGGAAGCTCAGGGTTGCGCGATCAGGAAGGGTCGGCACATGAGCGAAGTAAGAGGTGAGTAGAGTAGGAGTTGGGCGACCCGACGGGCTGGTGCCGAACGCTCGGGATTGACGTGGGCCACGACGGACTGTGGGCACGGGCGAATCCGACGGGTGCGGAAGGACCAAGCGGGGTGACAACTTCGTGGGTTGGTGCGTGACGACAGACTATCCGCATCGGAGAGAGAGAGAAAGAGGAGAGAGTTGAGGTCGATGGACGTGGATTTGCTGTTTCTTTGTCTCTTCCCCCTCTCCGTCTGTGTACATACATTTTGATTGCGGCCTCGGGCGGTTTGCCCATTCTTATCTTTTGTTTGGGCTTTTTGAGCTTGGTTTTTTGCTCACGCTGGTCCTTGCTATGTCCGTCCGGCTTGCATTTTATGTATGATTATCGAATGTATGGATGTGGGGACGTTATGCCTGCTTGTCTATCTTTTTGCTGAGAATCCCCTGCCCTTGCTTTTTGTTCGTACCAATAGATGGGATAAGAATCTGGCCCCGATATCGATTTCATTCTCGTTTTTGCTTATCCCACGATGAGGTTGTGGTATGGTTGCATCTTGCATAACCGGAGCTTACGAAGCAATTAGGCGATCTAGAGTCTGGCCCCGCGAACGCCACACGAGAGCACGTGTAAACGCGATCCGAGTCGCGCCCTTACACGCATTCCCGTGCATCGACTCGCTCACCCCGAAGGGAATCATGACGGAACCATCATCCCGTACGAGCATGATGAGGTGCCACTGAGTCGGCCTGTCCTACACGTGCTCGTGCGCGGTGACGATATCCCGACCCGCGCTATCCCATCGGCAATGATACCATGACGCGATCTTGGGGCTCAGACTCGTCCTATGACCCGGACTATTTCACCCCTATAATAAACGAGCTCATAAGGACCCGATACCCTTGTCACACGGAGAATCGACTATGTCCGCGGGAATTCCATTGTGCCACCACTAGCGACCCTCGGTGCTCCGATTTCCCTTCCCCCGACCACACCTACTACTTCACCCACCCGGGATTCGTTGAGATCACCACCAGTTTCCCTCCTTTCCACCTCCTTCTTCCGTATCATCAACTCAGTGTCGTTCCGTGGCCGGCCATAGCCCCCTATTGGCCCAACACGTTTTGTGTGAATCGCCGACGTAGCGGCGAACAGAGAACTCCGGAATTTCGAAGGCCCAACCCAGGCCCGCGGCGACCTGCGCCACGTGGCGGCCCCCGACGGCCTAACTTTTCGGGACCACCTCCACCACGGAGGAATTTTCCTGTAACCCGTAGCCCGCAGTGTCCCGGTCCCTTGGGACTGTGAGACCCTTGCGTGCGCACCCCTCGCTCGCCTAATTGCATTCATATCCTTAACCCTTTTCGCACTTCCAGGCCCACATCCCACTCCGATCAGGAAGTCGCGCTGGGCGTGAGGTTCTGGGCGTCACAGGGTAGGTTCGATAAACAGAACTGTACGATCCATCTCAGCCTGAATGTCCAATACAAGCACCGGGAGACGATCCGCCGTCTCAGCCAGGCATCCCAGGGTAGGCAGGGATGTTATACACGGTCTCAGCCTTTCTCAGCCACGCATCCCAGGGTAGGCAGGGTTGTTATATTCGGGACATGGGACGCTGGACCCGGTTTCCAGCACGGGGTTGTCAGACTGTGTTTTTTTGGACATGATATTGTTCTGTAAATTTCTGTATAGGTTTCTGTAAAATTCTGTCAAACTTCTGTCAATTTTTTCTGTCAAATTTCTGCCAAATTCAGTAGAACGGCTGCTAGACGCCATGAGGATAGCAGGAAGTGAGTAGGGACGAAGGACGATGAGGTGGTATGATGTGATCTACGAGTGCCTCACTTGTGGGTGTTGTGTAAATTTCTTACACGTGCGCTGTAATTCTTGTACAGTGGACTCTAGGATCGATGGACTGCTTTGTACGGTAGTGCTTTTGCTTGCGTTGTGGGATGAAATTTCGTTGGTTGAGGAAATTTGTACCCAGTTGGTTGAACCCACATGCACGACATGGGGTAGAATTCGTTAAGCTGAGTTGATGTGTATATACTGCGGTGTCTCCATTTTGTAAGCACTTTTACATAGGAAAACCTACACGCACTCTGGATATTCGCTGGCAGGAGCATTTGTAATTTTGTATGTATGTCGTAAACGAAACCCTTCGCACTTTCACCGGTGGTTGAACTCGTTTGGTTCGGGGAATTATATCCTACTACCCATTGGCATACTAGGGGGCGATAATTTAACCAAATTAGAATCTGTCTATATCCATCGTTTGTCCCCATTCTTGAACACCTCCGGGTGTAACAAGAACCCTCGCAAATCTGCGCGTAGGAAGAAACCGGGTAAATGTGAACGTGCACGTGGTCGGAGGCAATTAGTTTCAGGGGATATTGTCCCGCCCTTGACCCCGATTAAATACAGAATACACGGCTCTTCAAACTGGGATATAGATTTCTACAACTTGTTTGACCAGACGTTGACTAAGGGGATCTCTGGAATTACTGTTACTTCAGAAGGGGGTAATGGCTGGTTACCAAATTGGCATAAATTGATTAAAGTATTTGGGGAAACGAAACTGATTTTCAGCAAGCACCAAGTGCGCCTAAAAGATGGTCAAACTTTGATTGAGGATGTTGCTACCTTTGTGATTTCGCGTGTGAGCAAATGGAAACCACGTTGTAATTTTCTCAAGCGTCTATTGATCGGGATTCTAAAAAATCCCAGTAAGCTAAGTGAATTGCATTCTTGGGGGATTAAAGCCTTTTTGCGCTTGTATAATGTGGTGAAAGATTTTTCACACAAGTCCACTAGGAAATACCTACGCAGGTTGATTTCTCGTCGTTTTCTTGAATACTTTGGGCTCAGCCTTAATGCAGACCTAGTCTTTCGTATCAAATTTGATGATCGYGTACGTATCAATGAAGTTCGGAAACTCGCAAATGATGCTCTAATAGATTGTGCACTACCGGTGTGTTTCAAACACAAGATCAGGAAGAAGATGCGGATTGTAGGTACTAAGAACCCTACATTTGGTGACGTATTGCACAACATGTGCAGTCATTCGACGCGCACTATGCTTACCTGCTGCTGTGCAGGTTCGCCCTTTCCAAAAATAGGGCCACGTGAACTTCCGCCTCTGTGACTTGACCGATATCACCATTACTAGCTAATGCTAATAACATACCATTAGCCTGTATGCAGGATCGACTAGCTCTGCTATGCGAAGATCTGACCCTTGGCTTTCAAGGGTGGAAAAATCATCRGGGCAATCCGCCGATTTTTGATCTGCAAGGATTAAAAAAATGTTCCATCGACTCCGATGCTTCTTGTAGCGCGACACACCTCAGTTTGGATGAAGTTTTAGCCTTGAAAGGTAGGCTCGAAGGGCTGGTTGTTACAGCGGTTGACCGCAACTCAGGTGAGACGGCGGTGATATGCCCGTCTACATATTTCGATGCGATGATGAAGACTTTTGTGTTGAACTCGGG